AGATTTTTTACTCCAAAAGCATTTTATTAAAATAAATTTGATAAAAATCAAAATAATCCTATTTAAATTAAAAAAAAATCTGATTTTTAAAATTATTATTTTTAGAAAATCATTGATTTTTATCCTCCCTGGTGACTGTGGATCAATCACCAGGGACAGAGCCTTCTAGGTCCACCTTTGGCATGAAAGGCAACTGGTTGAGCTTGGGACGATCATCAGGAGACCATGAGTTCTAGTCCTGCCTCAGGCATGAAATCTGGTAGGGTAACTTTGAGCCAGTCCTTCTCTTTCAGCCCAATCCACCTTCAGGTGGAAAAAGTGTGTATCTGTGTGAGGTGTGAAAAAACCCCTAAAGTCTATCTCATTTCAGCCATGTGAATCATCCATAAACATTGCCCTGTTCTGTGCCTTAAGGAAACTAATCATTAATGATTTGGAGATTCCTTAATTACTCAGTAACTTGATATTTTGTTTTCTCCCTGGCCGGCTGCAGCCGATTGGGCCACTGGAGTTTTGTGTTTCAAAATACAATTACAAGGCTTGCACCGTTGCCAATTCTTTGTGTGTCAGAGGTGAGCAATCTGGTTAATGTGACATTTGGTACACTCCCATGCCCTAACCACTGTCAAATAAACAAGCTCAAAACAAAACAAAAATCCTTGAAATGCCCTTAAGGCTCAACTTCATACATTTCCCTATTTTAAAAAATACCTTGAAGAAATGGCGCCATAGGGCATGTAGTTAGCTGGGATTGGCTTCACATTCTCTACATTAAAAAATAAATAAGATTTTCTGCAACTTAAAAGCATAAATCAGGTTAAGACACAGCAAAGAATAAAAGGTAAAGGTTCCTCTCGCACATATGTGCTAGTTGATCCTGACTCTAGGGGGCGATGCTCATCTCTGTTTCAAAACTGAAGAGCCAGCGCTGTCCGAAGACGTCTCCGTGGTCATGTGGCCGGCATGACTCAACGCCAAAGGCACACGGAACGCTGTTCCCTTCCCACCAAAGGTGGCCCCTATTTTTCTACTTGCATTTTTTAACATGCTTTCGAACTGCTAGGTTGGCAGAAGCTGGGACAAGTAACAGGAGTTCACCCCATTACATGGCACTAGGGATTCGAACCCCTGAACTGCCGACCTTTCGATCGACAAGCTCAGCGTCTTAGCCACTGAGGCACTGAGTCCCTTGTCAGCAAAGAATAAGGTAAAGCTATTTTGTGAAGGGTTAGAATCCAAGGGAATGTATAAAATAGATTAAGGCCCATCAAGCAGGGCTGGCGTGAAACACCCCCCCCCCGCCCGTTTTTGAGATATTAGATTTTTTAATTGTTTAATGGGTTTTAGTCATAAGGTTCTTAATTTTCGGCCAAAGGGTATAATTCTTTTAAATTTTTAAATTTTGTATTGGATGTTTTTTACTTGGCTGTGCACCGCCCTGAGTCCACCAGGAGAAGGGCGGTATACAAATTTAAATAAAATAAAAATAAATAAAAGGCGGGTGGAATGAAAGTTTGTTCAAAACCAGAGGAGAACCAAAGTATATCAAAGTCTTCCCTAACTGAGTCTCTTCTGTTTTTCATAATTCCAAGTTGGCATGACCAAATATCACTCCATCTTGAAGACATAACATTAGAAAGAAACGCCAAGATGGTTAATACTTTCAGCACTTTGGAGAGCTCAAGTGTGATCAGTTGAGCTGTATGCAAAATCAGATGTTAACGGGATACACACATCCTTATTAAGCCCACATTGTGGTTTCTTTAGGTTTGGCTTAGAAATATGTGAGAATCGGACTGTCATGAGGTTTAAACCAGGTAGTCCTTGACTTATGACTGGAATTGAGCCTGCCAGTTATGTCCGTAAGTCATGGCATCATTAAAGCAGGTCACCGTATGACTGAACTGGTTTTTACAACCTTTTTTTTGCAGAGGTTGTTAAGTGAATGTCACAGCGATTAAGGTGAATGTCACCGTCATTAAGTGAATTCCAATGTTTGACAGAAACTAGCTTTTTTGCCACAAAAAATGAAAGTGAACGTTGAGTTTCCAGCAAAAATGTAAATCATGGTTATTTGACTCTGAGACACTGAAAACAATCATCAATGTTGGTCAGTTGCCATGTGACTGGGGGAGTGGGGCGATGACATAATGTCAAAACCAGATCCTAAGACCTGGTTTTGGTATGGTTGCTAAGTGACTGGTCATAAGTCAAAGATCACTTGCAGCTTAGTATATCCTGTAAATACCATCAAACATGGCTTATTTATAGTAAAGCAGACCATAGCATATGGTGTATGTCAAGCTAGGTTTTGGGTGCTTGATATTAATTTATGGCTTATTTTAAACGCTCGCTTAACAGACCACAATGGCTACATGTGATGGTTTCTTTGACTTTGACTGAGTAGGCTGGGTGGGAAGTAAGACACTGTGGTTTGGAAACCATTCTTATCATATTTTACGTTGTGCCTACGCTTTTATAGAAATAAAAATCTATAGTTGACGGTATAGATCAGGGCTTCACTTCAAAGTTAGATTTTCGAAGTGGGCAACCAAACTGCATAAAAAAAAAAAAACAACAACAATCAGAGGCCACCAATCAATATTGGTGTTTTACAGAATGAAAAACGTTTTATAGATAAGGTTGATTTGAAGCGATTTTGCTTACTCAACTGCTAAAATTAATTTCTGCAAATATACAGATATGGGTAATCTCCAAGGGATCTGCTTGGCTTTATTACGAGGAAGCTTTTTACCTTATTCAAATGCCACCTCCAACTTTCCCTCCACCACCCTCCTTTAACTTTTCTTCCAGCGTGGGCCCCCCCCCAAATGCTGAACATTTCCAGAAATGTCAAAATGAAACATATGCTAACAAAGCTGTAGATTGAAGCTCCCAAGGTAGGCAGCACAACACCTTGACACTAAACAAATAAATAGCAGGTAAATGTCAGCAGAGATCCAGATTCGGAGAAGGAAATTGAAGAAAATGAATGCCATATATGTCAAAGAAATCCAGTATTTCCCCCACACACACACACACAAATAAAATGACTTTTTTTTTTTAAATTTGATTTATATGCCGCCCTTCTCCGAAGACTCAGGGCGGCTTACAATGTGCTCAGCAATAGCCTTCATCCTTTTGTATATTTATACAAAGTCAGCTTATTGCCCCCACAAACTGGGTCCTCATTTCACCTACCTTAGAAAGGATGGAAGGCTGAGTCAACCTTGAGCCTTGGCGAGATTCGAACCCTGCAGTAATTGCAGGCAGCTGGTCTTAATAAGCTTAATAACAGGGTGCCTTAAACCCCTGTAGTACCAAGGCTCTTGGTACTACAAGACTTGACCTAGCCGGTGCCCTCTGACTCATCACAGGGCAACACAACCTTGCATCCCCTCATGAAACTGGAGAAAACTGTACAGGTAATCCTCGACTTACAACTATTCTTTTAGTGACCGCTCAAAGTTTACAGATTTACAGATTAACCGATTTGGAAGGGACCTTGAAGGTCATCTAGTCCAACCCTCCGCCCAAGCACCCTGCCTACACCATTTCTGACAAAAATTGGCAGTCCGATCTCTTCTTGAAAGCCTCCAGTGATGAAGCTCCCACAACTTCCGAAGGCAACTTCTGTTCCATTGGTGGATTGTTCTTAGTTCTCAGAAATAAGCACCAGAAGTCTTCTCAGAAACTTAAGAGAGATGGAAGCAGTGGTGGGTTGCCCCCCGTTCAGACCGGTTCGCAAGAACCGGTAGTAAAACTGGCAGGAGGCCCCGCCCACCACCCCGGATGTTGTCATCAGTGATTCCGGAGGCCCCCGGAAATGCGTAAGATCTCCGACCTCCGGGTATTTCGCTGTGCACTCAAGATCCTGTTGTTCCGCCAGGCTGGACTATCAACATAATAATTTTAAATTGGGTGTTTTAAATTTCTGGGGTTTTAAATTGAGCTGAATTATTTAATAATTTTAAATTATTTTAATTGATGTTTGTCTTGTGCTTTTAATAGGCTGTACACTGCCCTGAGTCCTTCGGGAGAAGGGCAGTATAGAAATAAAATTATTATTATTATCTGCAGTTACGGATGCGCAGAAGCAAGGTGTGCGCACGAGCGAAGTGAGCGCGCATGCACGATCCCATTGTGAACCAGTAGTAAAGGTAAGTAGAATCCACCCCTGGATGGAAGGAGCTATTTGCAAGAGCCTGCCCCACCGTCTTCCTCAGCAACATAAGCTTTGGGCTCAATTGCGGTTGTTAAATTGAGGATTACCTGCATAGGTACGCTGGCTGGGGAATTCTGGGAGTTGAAATCCAGACATTTTAGAAGCATAGGGCTGGGAGAGACCTTGGAGGTCTTCTACTCCAACCTCCCTGCCTACGGCAAGGTTCCTTATTCCATCCTGGGCTGTCCAATCTCTTCTTGAAAACCTCCAGTGATGGAGCAACCACAACTTCAGGTGGCAAGCTGTTCCACTGATTAATTGTTCTCCCTGCATGTCAAATTTGCCAAGGTTGAGAAATGCCCTCAAACCACTTACAGCCCTGAAAAAAAGTGACGAACCAGTCTTCGCGCTTACAACTGTTGCACCATCTTCACCGTCACAAAACGTGGCAACTGGCGTGTATTTCATAAACATGCATGGATTTTATTCACTAAGGAGCCATTTCCTGGCAGTGAGAACAATTAACCAGTGGGACAGAGGTTGCCTCCAGAGGTTGTGGATGCTCCATCACTGGAGGCTTTCAAGAAGATACTGGACAGCCACTTGTCTGGAATGGTAACAGGGTCTTCTCCTGTTTGAGCAGGAGGTTGGACTGGAAGACCCCCAAGGTCCCTTCCAACTCTGAATATATGTCCTTGTTCGTTGCTAAGTGAGGCTCCTGCAGAGTTTGGGGTCTCCTCGTCTGTCCATTCGCTTGAAAGCCTCCAGATTCCCCCACAAGCAGACTTAGATGTTACCACTTGGGAAATGAAACCGATTCCTCTCCTGCCACAGATCTCGCGGAAAGCTGTATTTATGAGGTGTGCTAAAGCATGGAAATGCCTTGGAGAAAAATGACTTCATTAAAAGAAAGGCTGGGTGATGAGGAGAAACGTGTCCTCACATGAACTTGGAGAACACCGCGGAGGGACTTCGGGATTAATGTCAGCGTCTTGTTCACCTTGAATCATGATTCTTCGAGTCGAAACGCCTCTTATTAGCATCTTAGCTTCTTCGCCTGGTAATCATAATTAAAAAAAAAAAAGATTGGTATATTTATTTATTTATTTATTATTATTACGTGTATTTATATGCCGCCATTCTCCCGAAGGACTCAGGGCGGCGAACACAAGTTAAGAAACAAGTGCAATAAAATCATAATTTAATCCAAAGAATTAATTAGTAGTAAATAATAAAGCCCGGAATCAGTCTCAGCCTATTTGTTTGAAAAGCCAAGTCTTCAAGTCCCGACGGAAGGAGCGGAGATCAGGAGCCGTCCGGAGCTCAGTAGGTAATTCATTCCAGAGGGTGGGAGCACCCACAGAGAACGCCCTACCACTGGGCACAGCAAGGGGACATTGGCTCCCCGTCGGAACCCTGAGGAGAACGGCCCTATGTGAGCGAACAGGACGGTGAGAGGCAGGCAGGAGAAGGTCCTGCAAATATCCCGGACCTAAGTCATGAAGGGCCTTATAGGTGAGGACTAGCACCTTGAAGCGGACTCGGAGAACCACTGGTAACCAGTGCAGCTCACGCAGGAGGGGTGTTATATGGGAGTAATGAGGGGCTTCCATAACAACCTGTGCAGCTGCATTCTGGATCAGCTGGAGTCTCCGGGTGCATCTCAGGGGCAGGCCCACGTAGAGGGAATTGCAGTAATCCAAGTGGGAAGTAACCAGGGCATGAGTGACATATATCAGATTGTGTTCATCAGGTTATTTTCTCTTGGGTTACAGGTAGTCCTCGATATACGGTCACAAATGAGCCCAAACATTTCCGTTGCTCAGCAAGACAGTGAAGTGAATTATGCCTCATTTTACGACCTTGCCACAGTTGTTAGGTGAATCACTGCAGTTGTTAATTTAGGACCACAGTTGTTCAGTGAATCTGGCTTCCCCATTGACCTTGCTTGTCAGAAGGTCACCAAAAGTGGATCACACGATCCTGGGACACCTCAACGACCACAAATATGAGTTGGTTGGCCAAGTGTCTGAATTTGGATCATGTGACCATGGGGATTTTGCAATGGTCGTAAGTGTGGGGAAATGGTCATAGGTCACCTTTTTTCAGTGCCACTGTAGCTTCCAACAGTCATTAATGAAGGGGGTGTAAATTGAGGACTACCTGTACATCTGAAAATCCAATATGATGCTCTGGGACTTTAGAATTCAAACAAATAGGCGCCTGCTACATAACACCTCAGACTTAACCATTGTTAATAAGAAAGACAAAAAAAATATGTCTGGATAGTGGATGTGGCAGTAAGTGGAGACAGCAGAAGAGAAGAGGAAGAACTAAAGACAGCTGGACTTCCTTGTTGTTGTTGTTTTCTTTTCCTTGAAGACATTTCGCTTCTCATCCAAGAAGCTTCTTCAGTTCAAAACTGAAATGGGGATGGTGCTTACAGTATGATCTGACTTCGCTTTCCTTTGCTTGACAGATCCATGAAGGTCAGGGATGCAAGAACTGGTCCTAAGGTTATTTTTTTCATCCCTTTCAAATGGTCGCTAAATGAGGCAGCCGCTAAACAAGGATTGGCTGTACTGTGGTGGGGAATTATCAAGGCCTGTTGATGGCCAAGAGTACATTAAGAGAAGGACGAGGAGAATTTTGTCCTTCCTTTCCCCAAAACACTTACAATCTTAAACATTGAATACGGAAGAGAAATCTGTGTTACACTGGAACAGGGGTGGCCAACTACGACCCCTTTATGACCTGCGGACTTCAATTCCCAGAATTCCTGAGCCAGCTGGACGAGGAATTCTGGGAGTTGAAGTCCACAGGTCATAAAGGGGCCACAGCTGCCCATCCCTGCACTGGAATGATACTGTTCTCTGCCCTCTATAATAATAATAATAATAATAATAATAATAATAATAATAATAATAATAATAATAATAATAATAATAATAATAATAATAATAATAATAATAATAATAATAATAATAATAATAATAATATTTTACAATTGGAGGACTCTGAGCACCCAGAAAATTACCCCGTGTTTTTTTTTCTCTTATTTCATTTAAAAGTGGACTTTTCCTTGACTTTTACACCCCAGGTATTCTTTTCCAACCGATTTCTCCTGCACCAAGGAGAAAAACCAAAGCTCGAGAAAGCAATAAAAAACATTTCTTTTGTTTCTTCCCTTCTCACTCCCAATTTTTTTTTTTTTAATTTGATTTATATGCCGCCCTTCTCCGGAGACTCAGGGCGGCTTACAATGCGTTAAGCAATAGCCTTCCTACTTTTGTATATTTATACAAAGTCAGCTTATTGCCCCCACAAACTGGGTCCTCAATTTACCTACCTTAGAAAGGATGGAAGGCTGAGTCAACCTTGAGCCTGGTAAGATTCGAACCTGCAGTAATTGCAGGCAGCTGTGTTAATAACAGGGTGCATTAAACCACTGTACTACCAAGGCTCTTAATATTGTCAGAATAGTGGCTTTGGGTGTGTGTGTGTGTGTGATGCACGATCTTCAGCCCGGCTGGGTTTTTAGCTGCAGAAGTCTTTTGACAGAATGGGGAAAGGAAAAGAAAAAGAAAAAGCTTGGCAATTGAAACGAGCCTTTCCCGGAAGGTGTTAAGAAGAGGAATGACTGTGTACATTTTAAAAGAGCATGTTAAAGGAATCACCGACACAAAGCGCAGGAGAACTAGGTCTGCCATGCCATTGCTTAGCAACCGCATGTTAACCCCCTGCAAGAAAAACAGCCAGAGGTATCCCAGCTAAAGCGGAGAATACGGGGGCATGCAAGACAGACAGCAAGCACCAGAGAAGCTGAGATTTGAAGGGGCTGAAAAGTCACTGTTTTCCATCCGATCTTCGTGATCATAACAACCGCATCTTGACTGTATCAGATAATCATCTTTCTCCGGGCAGAAAGGGTACCCAGAGGTCTTCAGCATCACGTCCAACCAATTGAAAAACAAACAAACAAATCCTGATTTTGAAATGTCTTGGAAGAGGAAGCTAAGGAAGCCAAGGACTAATTGGGCCAGTATTAGTACAGGCGGTCCTCGGTTTACAACCTTTCGTTTACTGAAGCTACAACGGCACTGGGGGAAAAAAAGACTTTTCACGCTTACGACCTGTCAGGTTACGATGTCGTCTCAAATAAATTGCATTTCCAAACAAAAAGTCTTTGATGAAATCTTTCATTTGTTGAGTACCAACAATCTGTCCCCGACTACGTCGTAGCCGACACTGACCCTCCGACCCCAAACCCTTCCCTTTCCGTTCCCCAATTCTCAGCGTCTCATTGGCCATCTTCCAAGTCAGTCTCCCCATTTCTTTACTTCAACTCACAGGAATGTTCCCCCCTCCCATCCCATCTCCTAGGGGATATTATCTACAGAGAAAATAAGTAGGTGAAAAGTCAAGCGTCTTCTTCGTCTCTTTATGCCAGCACTAGAGTGCTGACACGACCGTTGCAGCGTTTCCCTGTGGTCACATGATCAGAATTCGGATGCTTGGCAACGGGTTCATATTTATGACGGGTGCCGTGTCCCAGGGTCATGCGTTTACCTTTTATGACCTTCCGGCAAGCAAAGCCGGATTCACTTTTTACAGTCATGTTACTAACTTAATGGCAGCGATTCACTTAACAGCTGTGGCCAGGAAGGTGGTAAAATGGGGCAAAACTCACTTAGCAACTGTTTCGCTTAGCAACAGATTTTTATTTTATTTATTTATTTATTCTTATTTATTTATTTAGCTTGTCAAACATGTACGAGATAACAGGAATAAGTAAAAACATGGATATGAATACAGGAAATGGGGACGAATAAATGGGGACAGTAGGACAGGGACGGAAGGCACGCTGGTGCGCTTATGCACGCCCCTTACAGACCTCTTAGGAATGGAGTGAGCTCAACGGTAGACAGTCTAAGGTTAAAGTTTTGGGGGTTTGGGGAAGAAACCACAGAGTCAGGTAGAGCATTCCAGGCATTGATCACTCTGTTGCTGAAGTCATATTTTCTGGAATCAAGTTTGGAGCGGTTTATCATGAGTTTGTATCTATTGTGTGCTCGTGTATTATTGCGGTTGAAGCTCAAGTAGTCATTGACAGGTAGGACGTTGTCGCAGATAATTTTGTGTATTACGTTTAGGTCAGACCATAGGTTGTCCAAGCCCAAAATTTCAAGCCTGGTCATAAGATATTCTATTGCGGGTAGAGGAATGGAGGACTCTTCTCGTGAAATTTTTGGGGAGGCTCAATTGCAGTTGTAAGTTGAGGACTACCTGTATTAATATTGTGACCCCCTCCCCCCAAAAAACCCCCCATCCTCATGAAGAATGTTCAGATTTCAAGATGTCAATGTCGAAAGCACGGTGCTTCTGAAAATCCCTAACCTTGAGAAGTGTTCGGTTGGTGAATTTTCTTGCTGCAGAATTTGTAGGGATGGGGGCACTTTCATTGCTTTTTCAAACTGAGGAGCGTGTCAAAAAGTCAACAGGATGCTATTTAGAATAATGATTTCTGAGCTGCTCATCAGGCAGAACAGCTGTTGCTGCTAATTAAAGACAAGTGAAGGAATAACCTCTTCAGAGTGATACTGGTGTCCAAATGGGCATTGGAAAGAAAGCTTTTCTTTTCTTTCTTTTTTTTTTAGGATAGCAATTAGCAACGTAAGAGTCAAATGCGGTTCTTGATTTATTTATTTATTTATTTATTTATTAGCAGCTGGTGCACCTTTCAACTCTACAGTTGCTTGAACATATGAAAATCTCAAGTGTATGAAAATTGCTACTTGAACCCCCTTAAATGCAATAAAAGCTTCTTGCAATGCAGGAGAAGGAAAGACAAGAGAGCGGAGTCAAACAAGTAATCAGCCTGGAATCATTACGTTCTCACAAACTAACTACCGGTAAATCCAACCCCTCTTGAATTCTGTTAACTCTTTATCTGGCACCAATTTACTGCTGTTAGTTGACTCGATCCTTGTGTACAGGTAGTCCACAATTGGGAACAGAAATTCTGTTGCTAAGCAAGGCAGTCATTCAGTGAGACAT